TCATGAACAAGACATTTATCTGTGTTTGGTTGGGTCGGGCCATCAAAATCAAATAAGTATGTGAATGTATAATCTGTTTTTGACGGTAAAATACCACTGACGAGAACGGTCGAAGGCAGTCAAGCCACAATAATTAGACCTGCTGTTTGATGAGTTGAAGTGTACTATTTATAAAGACGCACGACCCATTTAAATGTTTCTATGAAGGTATCCACTTGGCATTGGTGGTTGCTGCAAATGAACACCAAAACACCTCAGAGGTTTTACCGGTTACACAATGATTTCCTCCACCCATATGAAACTGGTTCAGCAGCCGAAGCGACATTAATCGATGACGGCTGAATTGTGTTCTATCATCGGCTAAATACGTCTTGCGTAGAGTCATGGGCTACTTCCATACGAAGATCGCGAACTGAACATGAATAAATCAACCTTGGAATTTCCTCCTGTTTTACTGGTCAACGACGCTTTTAAACCATATGTGATTGAAATTATGAATGCTATTTCACAGCATCCATGCAAGAATCAGCCAGAAATTTACGCTACTTACTTCCCATATTTGAAGGAAGAACATCTTTAAACATAGAGCCAGAGTTGCAAGCTTCCACGTACAGCACCAATTTGTTGAACGTTTTCTTTGAATGCATGTATGCGAGTGTATCGTTCAACTCCATGGCATACAGCTGTCGCACGAAAAGGAGAAAAATGCTCGTGAGCTCGAGGTGAGTCACTCGATGAGTCAGTCACCAGTGATGTGGATCACTCGATTGAAGAATGGGTGGAGTTATATCCTGCTTAATGCGGCTAAATCAGGCTGTTGGCTGGTCACCAGTGGCCTAATGGTTACACGCTGCATCTATCAAGCGCACCACTGATGATTCCCAATAAGGATGTATTCGTGTTATATTGCTTCTCGGCTTTCCATCACGGACTGGTTTCTCATATATAAATACAAAAACGTCAAACTATTAACGATCCGTACTGTCGCTCTAGAAGCGAAAAGCAGTATGTTGTCTTGTCAGGAAGAATTCGGCTGAGGCGTTCTTGGTGTCATCTACGCCTCATGAGTGACCTTATACGATCAGCTTCTTTGTTTATGGTATCTGCGTTTCCTCAGCAGTCTGAGTGGATCGAACGCGAAATCATGTGAGTCGAACGACCCTAAACTTGGTAAAACAAAATCTACGTGACGGTGTCATTTAAAGCACCTTGACGAGACCTATGAAACTGGAATTTCTGGGGATATCACTCTTGAGAGTGACGTACGATCATCGTAGCTTGTGTTCGATTTTTCGGTTGATGTGTAGAACAGCTTGACTATGAACACGCTTTTATGAAGTACTACCGATGTCATTGCATCAATATGTTTACGTAAGCGTTTTCAATCCGTTCTCTATTCAGCTTCCGAATAAAAAATGCATGCTAAAACGGTGGTTACCAAAACTAACTAAACTTACATATTCTTTTAGAAAGGTAATATGGGAAGTCCCACCATGGCCAGAGAAGAAGATGAACAAGTTGTCATTAGGACCGCTGTTATTGGGCAGAAAGTTGCAGGTGGTCTTGTAGAGTAGCTTATTGCCTGGCGCCCTCACAGATGGGAAAGCAAAACAAGAAACCCGCGGAAATGGAAGCATAGCGAAGAGGCAGTTCAGAATATTGTTTTGTACCCGCTGCTGGATATAATCACTAGTCTGCGTTTCGCATGACCACGTGAATACGGGGGTGAAAAATAAGATGTACACTACTGAGGAAAAATATTATGACAAAGGTGAGGCGATCCTGATCTGGAAATATTCCGTTTCTGGGTCGTTGATCAGGATGGTGTTCATCACTTATCTGCTCGTAGTGATCAACTGCGAATGTTTCACCTCCAACCGAAGTGACCTCGTGAGTGGTTGGGTTGGAACTTACTACATACCTGTGTGATATTATGCAGCTGAGATTGGCTGAAGGGAGCATACACTTCTCGGTGTCCACGTGGTAGATTTCGAACTGTACTGCGTTGTGGCTGGCATTCACTGAATTCGATTGCTGCTTTTTGCATTTTCTGTCTGAAGACCTTTCGTTCATGGTCTGATTGATCGGTTATTGCCCTCTAATGTCTTGCATTCTGGCTTTCCACATTCGATTGACTCTCCCTCCGACTTCTGGTTTCGGTAGTACATCTTGATTTTTAGTTTTTGAATTGCTGTTTTGCTGTAGCATGATTTTTCGGAGTTTTTTTTCGCGAATGCTCTTTCAGTTAATAAAACTTGTTTATTGTGCAGATGAATTTTTCACATTTGATTTCCCATTTTATAGACAATCTCTACTTTCCTCTCTAATTCCACCAACTAAAGAGGGGATCGGAAAAAACTAATTTGTTCAACTTTGGATTGGAAAAGCTTTTTACCACCTTTCTGTTCATTTACTAATTACATCTGCTAACGAACCTGGTTATAGCAGGGAAGCAAACCAGGTAGTGCAGAAATTGACGGAATTAGACAACGTCGATCTCACCTAAGAAAAGTTTTGTAAAACGTTAGACAGCTTTCAAAACACAAACGATAAGACTCACAATATGTCAAAGGAAATGAGTGTGCCGTCGCAATTGCAAATCCAATCTGTGTATGATTGACCGAATGAGAGCCTTATAGGGAAGACAGGTATTCTAAAAGCTGAGAGCATTATGAGTGAATCGCGATAAAGATTGGAGGCAAAGCCACAGTGTTTATTTGCGATGAGTTAAAAGAACTCCTCAATCCGAGCAAACAAATATCTACCGACTCCAAGTCGCACAAGTCCGAGGAGATATTTGACCATTTACAACTGCGCATATTTACATAATTTTGAAACTTCTGTACAGTGGCGATTGATGCCTATGATTTGATAATAACCAAAAGTCAGAAATGGATAAACCGGGTTTCCACTGGAGTGACGCAAATCATTTTAAATGACGTGTGAGGTTTACTCAAAGATATTACGTACCAAGTTAATTGCGAGAATACTAAATAGAAGACGGGGGCCTGCAAAGCTAGAATTCCAGCTGTGATCAGCAAGTGCAGCAAAAATATCCACTTCCACGCCAACCCACCTTTTAAGCACCTTCTTCTTGTTGGCTTCAAGTTTACCATCGCCTTTTAATACTTTCACGAAGTTATCACGTGTGACATCCTAAAAAGGATGAACATACATGACAAATTATTCCTGTGACAATGGTGCTCCCCACACCTGCTCTCTTCTCAGTAACCACACATTCGCCCTAAGAAATAAGTGAACTCTAGGATCTGCTCCCCATTTTCATTCTCAGTCATTTTCTCCGCGATGGTCGGGTATGCTGGAAACTGAAGAATTCGATTGTTGCTCTGTTTGCCAAGCATGGCATATGGATTTGATCCTCAAGCCTGGGGATAGTAGTTGTGTTGAACATGGACTGCCTGGACTAATCACTACCAAGTAGCCCTCATCTACCTCAGGAGCTAGGGAATACAACATACGTGAGAAATAGCAGCAATATTGAAGTGCGTATTTATCATTAGCACTCAACTGAAACCCAGTTGAAAATGTCATATCTACAATATGGTTTAGCTAAATGTGCTGTGCTGGACACGCTGCTTGTTTCGGTTGGCGCATCACTCGGGATATCACAGGAAAATTATGTACACGAATAAAGGAACACAACGCGGCTGCTAGGAGGCATGACACCCCGTCCTTTATATCTATATACAAGGACAAGAAGGCCACAAGTTCAATCTGGAAAATGCGAAAATTTTGGCATACGGAGACACGCGACACGTAAAGGAACCTCTGGAGGCATGGTACTCTACGACAGGTTCAATCAACCGGTGCATCCCCTATTCGGCACTGTTGGTCATCTTGCACATTTCGTGGTTCTTTTGACAAGAACGCTAGTCCAT